TGGCTATTACTATGCTACACCACCTTCTTTTCCCTTTGTTGTTAGAATGGTGCAATATAGGATTTGTGTGGCTTCTTTGTGAATGTGTGGGATACATGATTTTGTTAGCTATGGTTTGGTTTATATAGGCTTGTTTGAGATATGATAGATACATTAGATGTATATCTTGAAGCTATAGTACCGTATCAAAAAATTAATGTGTACATTAATTGCACATCCAAAGGCTACACCATACATTAGCTGTATATCTTGAAGATAGAACACTGCATTAAATAATGAATGTGTACATGAATTCTATATGTACTCACTATACATACATCAATTGTGTATACCTCGAAGATATGCAATATCATCGAACACTAAATGTGTTCATTAATTCCACATCTACATGTTATGCATGCATCAGTTGTATATATCTTGGAGATATTGTTTTGCTTCAAAAAATGAATGTGTACATTTATCGACAAATCTATAAACTAAAACATTACAGTAATTGTATATATCTTGAAGATATGACACCATATCCAAAAATGAATGTGTACATTAATTGCACACCTACAAGCTACAACATTACACCACTCTAATGGCTACAGTACTGCATCGTTCTTTAGAAATATGCACCGGGTCGTATATATTGCACTATGTAAGACATTGGACACGTGCATTGTGTGTATTTGAAGAACCAAAATCGCCGGCTTTCCTACTTGTGTATATTAGATGATGCCCCACACATTGTGTCGGAACCATGTTACATAAAGCAGTGCTTAAAACAACTAAAACTAATGGGGAAAATGTAAGAGTGTTCTCGATTTACATTTTGAAAACAATCAGACCTACAAATTATGTGACAAGATTACGTATAAAAAGAGAAACACTTTTGAATTGAACTAAACTCAACGCGAGCATTAACTATATATTTTTCTCCCAGCGTTCACCACATATACCTTTCATGACCACAGAAAATTCGGTGCAATTTTTTTAACCCAGGACTAAAATGCATGCCTGGCTTGATTAGGTGGCATGGTATGCACAGATAGATTAATGCAAAGAAGTAACTTGTGAGTACATGCATGACTTCTAATGTCACACAATTTTGGTTGGACGACTATCACCTATTGAGGTAATGTAGAAACATGCATGTGGAGAGAAATTTAGTGCATACATGTTGTTAGTTTTGTGTGAAAGTTGTGCACATGAATAAAAATTATGTGTGTGCAATTTCTAGCTTTGCTTTTGTACATCCCAACTAAAAATTAAATTGGTTATTAATAAATAAAATGGGCAGATATATGCACTAAATATTTTATTCCGCTTTTCTTACCTTACCCGAATCGTTGTCTCCATTTTATTCTCATGGAAAACCTACATTATTTCAGTTGCCTTGATGCATAACTTCCTTCTACCCTCGAACCACATATTCCTTCAAAATTTATGGTTGTTCATGAAATATTCAATTCAAATTAGTATTGTTGCTAAATATCTTGAATACAATATGAAAGTATTACAAAAGAGAGACACCTAGTGACACAGCGAGTGGCAATTTTGAGAAAGAGAAGGCAGTGTTGTTAATTATTTGACGTTGACAGTTTGTATATATATGAAATATAGACAATTCAGATTTACATATGCAATTTTGGCATTTAGTTGGGGTTGTTTACAAATTTAAAGTGAATTTACTATTAAATAAAATGTTAGCAGCATGCCTTTTATATAAAAATGCTGCTAGATTTATTCCATAGGAAGGGGTGTCTGGATGAGAGAGTAATCTTTTAGTAGATCATGCATCAACAAAAGAGAGAGGTTAATTATCTGCAAACACATGCACATAGACAAATTATTAAAGTGGCTAAGCAGGGAGCAATCCGCTTCGTTTTTAGTGCTGACTGATGCCTCCTATTGTAGCCACACGTGTATTCAGTTTTTCATCTGGTTTACTGCCTGTTTTTTCTCTCTGTTCGCCACCGGTTTTTGCTGGACATAGATTTCATTCGTTCACCGGCCCACCGCTTTGACTCAGCGTAAAAATAGATACACAGCTTGGATAGAGGTTTCCTTCTCTTTCTTCTTTGTTCCCCTCAAGCCCCACACTTTATTCTCCCCCGTTTTCTCCTCCACCGCCGCTCCTCTAACAATCACCCCCACACATTTGTTCCTCCTTTGCCGCCATCGGCCCATCTATTGCTGCTCTCAGCCCCGTCTCCTTATGCCACCTTTCCCCATGCCTAGCTCCCTTTCCTTTTGTGTTCCCCCTAATGGGCGTGATGGGCGAGGTGCGAGGTGTGAAGGCGGCGCCCGGAGCAGTAGCTAGGGAGGAGATGTGCTGGCTTGACCGCGGGGACTGGGAGGCCGCCAGCTCTATGGAAGGTCTTAAGGCGCGGTGGAGCTTCAATGTTTTCCCCCTTTAGAATGTGTCAACTCTCATGTGTGCGTAAATATGTTAGACGAACCTTGACAATATGTCATATGCGACATTCCTTTTGCCTCACGATATATGTGGTCGAGCTCAAAGCAAGTACTTTTCACCCTTGTGGTAATTTGACCTCTCTTCTCAAAACTGTAATACAGATTCGCAAACCGGGTTAACACTTACCCCAAGTCGCATGGCCATGTTTTCCGACTCTGATCACTCGAGAGGATCCAAAGAATATCTCTCCGTATAGGAGAGGCAACTCCCATCTTGGTAAACCATGTCTCGGGGCATGTCTCACGACTCACCTGAAAGATATATTTAGAGTAGTGTTTGATAGACCCTAAGTGAGTCGATCATCATCCTGAGAACATGCGAGGACCTCAGGTCTAGGACATGGCATATACATTGTAATTGAGACTAACAGTTGACAATAGCTCGTTGTGTCTCAAAGTGGGTCTGTCCGACACGGTAATCTCCATCCCTAAGTCCATACTATATATCAGTTCAGCATATCTATGCACATGACTTGTGAAGCATAGGCATCAACCGAATCGTATACTAGTCAAAGGATATATGTCTGCATAACCTTATCAATTAGGGACCATTAGCACGATTATCGTACAATACATCGTTCCACAAACAAGTCACATACCTATTGATACATATCATTGATGATGTTCAAAGATAGTACAAAACACTCACAAATATATAGGGAAATATCATCATCACAAGATTGCATCCTGGGCATATCTCCCACAAATTCTTCAATATGCACATCTTCAGGGAGAGTTTTCTCTATATCATGAAATCAATATCCTCAAGTTTTACTTTCAACAACCAAATTTTTAATACTTTGTCGTCAATCACTAAAAAAGGAGAGATTGTAAGTGCATCTAGTGCCCCCTTGTATGTTTTGGCTGATTAATGATAGAAGTGGTTAAGGGACTAATTTGTTTATAAGTATATACATGTGGAAGCACCTAAGGATTTAGTTTGACCTATGGTGTATGACCCATAAAAATGTTGTGACAACAATGAAGTATTTGGTTTGCCCGTTGAAAATTGGAGTGTGAAAACTTGTAGTTCTTTGTTAGTTTTTTCTCCATTTACTCAATAAGGAAAACCATACAGTAAGGGGAGGGGGGGTCCAAATGATGCCTTATCAATGTGGAACCGGACCTTATGCATGCTTTGAAATTATCAACAGTACACATTAATTGACCCACCTATACGAGCTGAAATGCTCATAATTTAGACAAAACTGGGAATAATGAATGAAATTGACATAATCATGTGCAAATGCGGGTAAAAAAAATACATGGACACTTCGAACAATTCTTTTCAAAAGGCATCATAGAAAGGAAAAACCTCTAGAACTACCATAATGCTATAAAAGTAGTATGAAATTCTTGCAGACCCCCACAAAATGAGAGGCAAACTGCTATGCTAGCTCAAGGACGCAAACTAAGTAATTTGCTCATCTGATTTTAGGAGTTTAGGAGCTCGAATTTTAAGGCTCACAATCTAGCGAAGCATAATTTATATTTGGGGATTGGCCGTCATTTCTGATTAGGCCAACCTGGTGATCTTCTTTCCGCCCTTGTAAACATTCCGACGTCATAATAAATGCTCCGTGGGATTGTCTCAACAAAATAAGAACTAGTTTGCTCATCTTAAAATATAAAAAGGCTAAAATATATTGACCATCTTGAAGTTGCGTCCAAATGATGCCTTATCAATGTGGAACCGAACCTTATGCATGCTTTGAAATTATCAACAATACACATTGACCTGCCTATACGAGCTGAAATGCTCATAATTTAGACGAAACTAGGAATAATGAATAAAATTGACTTAATCATACGCAAATGCGGGTAAAACAATGCATGGACACTTCGTACAATTCTTTTCAAAATGCATCATAGAAAGGAAAAAAACCACACACACACAAAAAAAAAAGAGAGGCAAACTGCTGTGCTAGCTCATAGACACAAACTAACTAATGTACTCATCTGAGTTTAGGAAGTTTAGAAGTTTGAATCTAGCGAAGCATACTTTATATTTGGGGTTGGGCATCATGCATGGTTAGGCCAACCTGATGATTTTCTTTTCATCCCTGTAAACATTATGATATCATAATAAAAGCTTCACTTGATTTGTCTCAAAAAGAAACTATTTTGCTCATCTTAAAACATTAAAAGGCTAAACTACATTGACCATTTTGAAGCTGCATACCACTACTCCCTCCGTCTAGGTGTGTAAGTCATCTTATGAAAACCAAATAATCCCAAAACACTTAGGCGCGGTGCATTAAAGTTTATCTCGTTTCTTGTTTCTTGACATATCAACCAATAAGAGATGTGGGGTGTGCATCCTTTTAATGACTTGAGACTACCAGACACGACATGCACTAGTTAGTTCATTGCATGCAATGGTATTAATTAGCAAATGAACATTGAGTTCTCTCGTTTTTTCCTTCTTCTTGGTCACGGTGCACAACCTAAGATGACTTACTCACCTAGATGGAGGGAGTAGTACAAGCTACGGTATCGTGTATCTATTGCGGCAAGCTGAGTATGGCGGGATGGGCTTAGAGTCCGGTGAGCCAGCCGTGGGCGATGTACTTGTTGGCGGCCTCGGTGTAGTGGATGCCGTCCCAGAAGAGGTGGGTAGATGGGTCGTTGCAGGCGGTCGCGCCGGGCAAGCCGCACGCCGATCCATCCATGTTGTAGTTGTACCGCCCGCCCCCGCCGCAGCACGCTCTCAGGGACTCCGCTGTGAACCCTGCAATGCAGACCTTCCATGGTTATATACTTGCTCTGTGCCAAAATATAAGAACGTTTTTTTTGCGGAAAAATATAAGAACGTTTTAACAAGGGAGTACTAATTATACTTGGTACTGTCAGTCTGGGGCAATTAGGCTAGTCATAGTGGGAGTAACTTAGCAAGTAACATAACGCACTCCGAGATTTTTTTACTTATGTGGCAATGTAGTTAATGAGAAGTGGTAACATAATATGTTATTGTAACATAGCGCTTTCTAAGACAAGATGAGTCTACAAGCTAATTAATGATGTCCTCTATGACACTACTACTCCCTCCGTCTAGGTGAGTAAGTCATCTTAGGTTGTGCACCGTGACCAAGGAGGAGGAAAAAATGAGAGACTTTAATGTTTATTTGCTAGTTAATAGCATTGCATGTAAGGAACTAACCACTGCATGTCGTGTTTGGTAGTCTCAAGTCATTAGAAACATGTACACCCCTCATCTCTCATTGGTTGATATGTCAAAAGACAAGAAACGAGGTAGGAGTTAACGTACCGCGCCTAAGTGTTTTGGGATTATTTGGTTTTCGTAAGATGACTTACACACCTAGACGGAGGGAGTACTATTTTACTTTGCACTATGAAGGTAGTAACTTAGACTAGTGTCATGTGCATGGAAAAATATGAAGGAGAACCTGGGTATCAGCGCACCCTATATGCAAAAAAAAAATTAGTAATTCAAAAAATTCCAAAAAAATTCCAAATCTTTTTTGGTATTAAACATGATCAAGTATTTAGTCGTATAAAAATATATGTCAGAGAATGACTTTCGCTGCATCCTGGGTCGAAGATTTGGCAAAAAACGCTATATACAAGTACTATACACGCTATATTGTTGTCATAAACTTGTCTTTTTTACCGTGAAGTCAATATGAATCATTTCTTGTCCAAACTTTTTTATACAAGTACAATACCTGATCATGTTTGATTTCAAAAAAGATTTGGAATTTTTTGAACTTTTTTTGAATTATTAAAAAAAATTCCGCATATAGGATGCGCAGGTATCCGAGAGCACCAAGTTCACGTCCCATGTGCATGACACTAGTATAAGTTACTCCTCATTATGACCAGCCTTAGCTAATGCTCACAGAGTTGACCTATATATCTTGAAAATCCATTTTTGCATGGTACCCCACGTACACCCAACCCAATAAAATTAAGTGCTGCGCGCTTTGCCATGCGTGTAGGCTTCTCGATCAAGATGCCAAACGAATCTCTTGTTGGACCGAAAATACCGCTATAATTGAGTACCGCCAGCTTTCATTACCACCCCCACATGCATGCATGCGCGGGTTAAAACGCAGCTAGCGGCTGCAAAGATCGTCTCGATGGAGTATATAGTAGTATACATTTTCTTTTGATCTCATCAACAAGTTTGACTTTGCTAATTAAAGGCCACTGCGCGCGTGAATTTGTGGTCAGGTCGCCGCACATAATGAAATGCTCCCTCCGTACCAAAATGTAAGACGTTTTTGCAGTTTAAATTAAACTACAAAACGTTTTATATTTTGGTATAGAGGTAGTACTAGTATTAGTCAGAAATCACAGATGCATGATATATATATAGACGATTAATACGTACAGTCGAGAAATGAAACTAAAATTTGCCTTGTTTCTAACAAATGAATCAAGACTAACAAGGCCGAAAGAATGGAGGAGTCCGAGAGAAAACTTACCGAGCTTTCCCGGGCGCCGGATGAGCCGCGCCACGGGCCTGTGGTAGTCGGCATACACCAGCGTCGTCCCCGGGTACTTCACACGCGTGAGCCTCACGCTCTCCTGCAGCATCCAGTTATGGTACTGCGAGAGGCCGTTGAGCCGCCGCAGGCATCCCGTCCGGCGGTCGTACTCCGTCGCGTTCGCCGCCGCGGCGTATTTCGTCAGCGCCATCGGCGTGCACCCCATCGGCGGCGTCCCTGATACCACCACGTACCTCGCTCCCTCCTCCACCAACCTCTGCATGCATGCACGGCCGCGCATAATTAAGAAGGAATGTGTAAAGTGACAGGTAATTTGCCACGAAGTGAAGTGTCTGTCACCTCGATGCCTCTGATGATGGCTTGCACAACAAACGGCACAAAGGACTTGGCCTCCTGCAGGCTCTTCCCGCCGGAGAGGATGTAGCTGTAGTCGGTCAGGCCCAGCTCGCCTACCACGAACAGAGACCTCGCGAGGCGCTCCCTGCATTCTGCAGTGGTGTTGCAGCTGAGCGACTGCTTCACGACCTTCCGGAACCACGCTATCTGCGCGCGCAGGGAGCTCCGGAACGGCGGCACGCTCCCAGAGTTGTGCCGCAGGAAGAACCCGACGTCGAGGGCCGTACCGCCGACGATGGCGAAGTTGGCTCCTTGGGTGAAGTTCCCTGCCTTGGACATGAAAGGCGGCACCAACGGGAGCTCCAGCGCCTCCGCTGCGCATACCATGTGCAAACAACAAATCAGCAAGAACGCAGCATGTATTCAGCGACTTTTTACTTGACATGCAGACATTTTGTACCGTACCGATGAAGTCGATGATGAGGCGGCCGTCGGAAGGCCGGCCGGTGGGGCGACGGAAGAAGGTCTCCCCGTAGGGAGAGTTGTTGAAGGGGCTGAAGGGGAAGCCGGCGGACAGGACGACGAAGTTGCCCGTATCCGAGTATGAGCTGCCGAAGCTGAAGATGGAATGGAACCGCGGTGCGTGGAGCTCGGCCTCGGGGACGCCGGAGGCGCCTGCGTTATACAGGAGGCACGGGATGAGGACAACGACGAGCGACAACTGCGGCGGCTTCATGAGCGGATCGGGAGGAGGCGAGGTATGCGGAGCAAAAGGTTCCTTGTGGCCGCGGCGTGGCGTAAAGTCTAGGAGGAGTAGGTCGATCGAAAGTGTACACGGTGCCATAGTAGTTTTTTTTTCACTCAAAAAAAAAAAGGCCCTCGGAACCTGGAACTGTTGATTGACTTTATGTACTAGTTGCACACTCAAGTTTATTTTGAAAATACGCCAACGAATTTGATCTGAGTGATGAGCGGGGGACACTTGGCTCCATCGCTGATGGGCAGGACGGCGATAAAATGTGTGTTCATTTAGCAGATCCGCTAAAAGCATCTAAGAGCATCCCTAGCAGATCCGCTAAATCTGCTACTGCAAAATCATTTTAGGGTTCCCCTGAAAACAATTTTGCACGAACACCCCGACGGAACAGACCCCGTAAATCTCGTATTGCATATTTAAAAGGCCGGTTCTACGAATTAGCAGGATGATTTCTCTAGTGCTCTAGTGGCCGTCGTCCGATTAGCGCTCAAGTGGCCGTAGGATTACGGCTGTGCCACGACAGTATTGGGCACGCACGCAGCGCTGCTGCACCCAGCAGAAGCTCCACTGCACCTCTCACGGCGCACGCCCGACGTTCGGTGAAGCTCCAATGCAGCACCGACGATGTCCGACGGAGCTCCAACGCAACATCGACACATCCGGCGAAGCTCCATTGCAGCACCGGCAGCTTCAGTGCAACTCTGGGCGGCGTGCAATGCCGGCGACGCTTCAGTGCAGCTCCGGTGACCCTCCAGTGGATCGTCGGCGATGCTTCAGTGCAGCTCCGGCGGCTTCAGCACAGCTCCGGCGACCCTCCATTGCAGCTTCTGCAGCGCTCCATTGCAACTCCGTCAGCACGGAAAAAGCTCCAACGCAGCACCGCCCACCTCCTCCTCGCGTGCTGCGCTGCATCACCGGTGACAAGTGGTGCCCGACTGCACTCCGGCCCCCGTGCTGCGTTGCAGCACCGGCCACTACGAGATTCGCATCACAACGCCGACAGCACCATCGAGTCGTCGGGTCGCATCACCGGCAGCATCTGATTCAACGACGAGGCTGCGTTGCAGCACTAGGTCTAATCGACAAAAATCACCGCATCACTGTGCCGTCGTGTGGACCTTGAGCAGCAGCAGGTGAAGCAGAAGCTTGGGGCAGCCATGGCGGATGGGACTTAAGAAAAAGGGTTTCCCCCGCTTTAGATTATAGAGCAACCAACATCCACAACCAAGCCAACGATACAAACGCACACCACACACACCCAAGACGAGATACAAGGATGTCGGGCACTGACACACACACTACTAGGAAAAGGGCTATAGATGGGATGGACACTAATGGCGCACTGTACATGTGGTGCGCCATTACTAAATACTAATGGTGCACCATGTGTTGGTGCGCCATTAGTGTGCAAATACTAATGGCGCACCACATCCCACGGTGCGCCATTAGTAAAAAAAATTATTTTTTCAAAACTAGTAATGGCGCACCGTGGGAGTGGTGTGCCATTACTAGTTGAACTAGTAATGGCGCACCATCCCACGGTGCGCCATTAGTAATTTGGCCCAAACATTCCCCCGAATGCACCCCCGATCGCCTTTTCAGTTTCAAAAAAATAAAAGAAAATGATAGAAGTGTCAAAAAATAAAAGAAAATAAGATTTCCATGTGATATGTGGACTAGTTGTTAGCAAAATTTACAAACATGAATTTTCGACCTTTTTGCAAAATCTCGCGAGAATTTGTAAAAATGGGCATAACTTTTGCATACGACCTCGGATGAAAAAGTTTTTTATATGAAAAATCATCTACTCGCAAAGTTACATCCGAATTTAACGGGGGAACCCCATTAAACATTTTCAAAATCCTCAAAAACCTAATAGAAAAAAGATACGAGGCTTTTAAGATCTGGAGAGGCAAAAAAATAAAAATAATCAAACTGACTAATGGCGCACCTGCCCATGGTGCGTCATTACTATCTTCCCGCCTTCAAAATTCAAAGTAAATCAAAAAAATAAAAATAAAAAGTTACTAATGGCGCACCTGCTCATGGTGCGCCATTAGTATCTTCCCGCCTTCAAAATTCAAAATAAATAAAAAATAGTAATGGCACACCTGCCCACGGTGCGCCATTACTATGCCGTATATATGGCTGGGCGTGTCATCTCCTCCTTACCTCTTCATTCTTCTCCTCCACTCCACCAATCCTCCACTCCTCCACTCCATCTTCCCTTCTCTCCTCCACCATACTACCCTCCTCCTCTCTGGCGACCTCCTCCTCCTCCTCTCCGGCGACCTCCTCCTCCCTCCTCTCCTCTCCTCCCCTCCCCTCCCCTCATGGTTTCTCCTCCCTCCTCTCCGGTGAGCTCCTCCTCCCTCA